AAAGCAGCTAATCTGTGGGCCTGGGAGGAGAAACAGAGAAAATGAACATGCTGAGACATAAACGACAGTAGCATCACTTGATGCTGTTTAAGTGGAGAATCTGGATGGCATGTCTGTAATAATGCTAGATCTATTCCAGGGATACAGATGGCGAAACCACCAAGGCAGCCAGGAAACACCCTTCTCTGGAGAGCTGCCTGGGCGAGAGGGTGTGACCTAGCTGCTGAGAGGAGGCCAAGCCCTACTTTATATAGACAACAAACATCTGTGTCACCCTCCAAAACCTACAGCCAGCCTCCAAATTACTGACTGAACACAACATGCCCCAACCCACGACTATTATGGATAACTGAGCTCCACCGGACATCTTTGCAAATTATATGATAACAAACTGCTTCAAACCAGGAGAGATATTCATATACTGTACATTGAAGCTACCTAAAAGCTTCAATTTTAATCTATTTATGCAAACAAATATACATTGGCCTCAAAATCTCTGAGACCACACTGAAAATCAATATATAATGTAATATAATTATTATATTCATTAATATACATTAATAGCTAAAGATTCTGCAAGATCGATCAATCTATCTATCTATCTATCTATCTATCTATCTATCTATCTATCTATCTATCTATCTATCTATCTATCTATCTATCTATCTATCTATCTATCATCTATCTGATTACTATGAAAACTATGATGATGGTTCACAAATGCTAGATAACATGATCATCAGGTTTTTTGTTATGTTTAGACAATAAAAATGTAATAAAAAAAGCTACTAGACTTTTTGCTCCTAATATCAGGGTGCGAACTACGGGGGAGCTAGGGGGAGTTCGGCTCCCCTTAATAAGACATGGGCTCCCCTGAAAACGTGATTTGTGAAATTTTGGGGGGTCTCAAAAATATTGACAATGTGTTATTTTGACGTGCAATTTCAGTTTTGTGTAATGTGATCATAGTGTATTATTATGTGTACAATTGCAAAAATAACATTCATTGATGCATGACAGCGATTTAAACCTAATTAACTTCAATAAAGATAACTATACATGCTATTCTTGTCATGAGCATCAAGGTGTGGGGGTGCTGCGGTCCAAATTCCACTCATGTTTAGTACGTTAACTCTTAAAAAATATAAACGCTGGACTCTGTGGTCGATTCTGTGTTAAGGTAAAGTTGTTATGTTATTCGCAATTATGTGTTGTGGCTGGGTTGTTATAGGTCTGTGTGACTCTCAATGTCTTAGGTCTAACTGAACGGAGGAATTATGGCATTCTTCTTTAGCCTGACGACGAGTAACTTTAACCGTTGTTCATGTGAACTCAAAGACAGCCTGATGCTTTGTTTATGGACTATTTGTGGGTGGCTGTTTGTTGTTTCACCAATCAATTCGTGTCGATAAAGTATAATAGGGTAAATCCTGTATAGTGATTTATCCTATATTGTGCTTGCATAAAGCAAGTAGTGCATACAAAGATACATAACAGCTAAATTACAAGTGTAAGTCATTGTAAGCCCTCTTTTGAGGCACGCGCAAGCACATTAATACCCAAGTGGGCTCCCCCAAAGACCACGGTATAGTTCGAACACTGCCTAATATATTATCCTGCATTCTTTTTTTGTAAACTGTATTAGCATGTGACAAAATGTTCCTTCCACTGTAAAGTTTGTTGATGTATCCTAAAGAAAGTGTTGCCAGACCACTATCAGAGGCAGGGAGAATCAGTCTGCTTGCCTTGCACGTCTCAGTTTAATTAGCATATCTTCTCGTTAGTCTGAAATAGAGAGCTGGGAAAGAGCAGACTGACTGTAATTACAGACCCTTGTCATCTCTACACGTCTCTCTTAATCATCCTCATGCCAATTAACATCTGTGTGAGCTGATTGCAGACCAGCTCCAGAGGAACTGATTGCAACCTCAAATTCAACTGCCTACACAAAACAGACATTTCTCTCCAATGCACTGATGGCAGGAAAGCTCAAGTTAGTGGCATTTATAGCCAGCAATTGACACTCATGCCATTCTAGTCACTAAAGGTTTCTCCCCTGAAAGCAACTCCGGTTGGTTTGCGATGTCATATAAATTGTTAATAATCATTAGCAGATGCTTAATTCTCATATTTCACCACGGTTTCCCTTCCTAAGCAGTGTAGATAGTGCTGTCACCTCAGATGAACACTAATTACATCGAGCGTTCCATCAGCCCAGCCCTCAAGCTAATGGTCAGTTAATTAACTCAAGGGCTTGCGAAATTACTGCAGTGCTGGTGCTGCTCTGATGTCCTGTAATTCTCACGCATACACATAAGGAGAAAAAAGAGCTGCTAACCGATAGAAATCTCTCTGGCAAAGGCCATGGACACCAGAAGGAGCGGCAGGCCCACAGAAACAAACTTGATGACTTTATCCAATGGCAAATCCAGCTCCAGGTGTCGAATGCGATTGTCCACATTACTATCCCTCAGCAGGGCATCAGAGAGCATCGCCTGGGCGGCCGTGTTGGCGATAGACATGCTGGCAACTGTGGACGGCAACAGAAAAGGACAAAGATATGTTTTGGTTAACAGTGGTTGAATCATCTGTGCTGTTATTCATATAGACATTTTACACAAAATATGTCCATTAACATCAACATGAATGTATAAGGAACACCTTTTCTTATCAAATAGCATTTTGATGATGTGGTTTAATAGCAAGCGATACAAGAACACATATAATGAATGATTAGTCTTGCATGATAAAGTATCAAATTAAACCTTCTATGAAATTATTCCATTAAACAGTAATTATGTCTTCCAACTTCAAACAGAAAACAAATGAACTGGAGTGAAGAAGAGTTTTGGTCTTACAACTGTGATCCGAAAATCTATTCAGGACAAATTTGATGGCACGGTAAGGAATATATAAGCCCAACATCAGCAACACACGCCATTGATGTATTTGTCAAATCAATATGCAATTAAGAACTTAAAAATGAATTTGAATGTTAAACAGGACGCGTCCTGTAATCGTCCAGTTCAATTCTACTGACAAGGTAAAATATGAAAAGAAAAGTGCAAAACATGCAAATAAAAACAACGTACAAATGTACAGTGTGAAACCTGGAATATCCTGAATTAATTTCTTTAGGTTGTAAGGTATGAAGCATTGAGGAAAATTTTTCACTTTAATCTATGGTTTAGAATGATGCAGGGTCAATATGTTAAGTGTGGAAAACAAACAAACAAACTTATTTTTGTACAATTACAGTACCTTATGAATTCCCAGTCCAGTAGAAGTCTGTATTGTGGATCAATCCAGCAGTAAACTGGTCCTGAGGCTGGAGAGAAGAGGGATGCTGGCGTGGGTCTTAAGTACTGGAGGAGGTCTGAGCAAAATGAGAGGCTGTACTGGGCTGGGTTATGGGGTAATTAAAAGAGTTAGAGAGGACTTTTGAGCCTGCTGGTGAAAAAGCAGAGAGAGGGAGAGAGGGTGGAGATGGACTGCAGATCTACTCAATTCCCTAAATGTGCTCATCAGCCCTGTGGCACCAGTCCACTTCAAATATACCCGGCTATGTGGCTTTTCTTGCCTCTGTCATTTCCCAGGTTATTTATACTCTCTGGCCCTGAACAGCCCTGCTTCAAGAGAGCATGTACAAGACTGCCACAAACACTGTTATTTCAGATGCATACAGACCTTCACAAAGTTTAGAGCTCCTCAGTGTGTTGTTTAACCCATTCATGCGTTGAAGATGTTCATTTGAACGTAGCGTGCAGCTTGTAAGCATAACTTTTGTAGAAACCTATGCGAAAATTCAGATTAAGGAGTTTGCAATCTGAGTAAACGTCCAGAAATGGCCACATGAATTAAACACCTACACATGACATAGTATCCAGCAAGTTGACTGCTCATATGAAGGTGTTTTATAACATCTAAAATCACCTAAAATATTCACAATAAAAGAAAAAGAGACGGAAAAAGAGTGGAGACTTTGGCAACTGTAGTTGCTAGTGGCCTTGAATAGGTTTTAAAAAATCTTTGCAGAAAATCACGAGGTTTTATTTTTATTCACAGCTAGAGCTTTTTTATAAAATCTAACTTTCCCTTAAGGTCATAGTTATTTAGGTTACAAAAATTATGACCAGAGTAACATTGAGATATAACGTTCCAGGCCTTGGGTCTAGATATTTATTCTGCAATCCTTGTGTTGCCCCTAAACCAACATCGACAAAATGGAAAATTATGCTTGTGTATTATTTCTGGGAATATTATGGTACCTGCTCTGGACATCTAAATCTAAAAATTATATATATATATTGAATACTTTCCGTACCCACTGTATATATACATACACATGAAGACCTTCATACAATGAAGACCTTTTTTAAATTGTTTTAGTTTGAATAAAATCATTTAGCTACAACTAATTAATGAATTAATTTGTAGTAGCTATATATTAATTTGCAAAATGACACCCAGGTCTACTAGAGTCATAGTTTTTTTAATTATCAAAAATGGTCTACTGAAACACAATAGATTATGAGAACAATGTATACAAACAAATAATTAAAAAGCTCCCCTATCATCACTTGCTCTGGAAGAACCATTTAAAAAAACAACCAAGAAAAGGATAATGAGAAACATGTACTTCACAAAGACCAACTGCAATAACATTCAGAAACATCCTGTCTTTTCTAAACATCACATCAGAAACAGGTGATTAAATCTGCAGACACAGTAAGCTGAGAAGCTCTTCACAGTTGTTGTTTTTCGTCCTTCAAATAAAATAAAGAGGGGCATCTCAGGGTGTGACACGCACCTGTAAATATGTCTTTTTTTCCTGCAGTGTTCTTCAGTAAACGTCATTTGTAGGTCCTACAGTTTCGGAAGGGCACGAGAGTTTTGTTCCGTACACGTAAGAAATGCTTGGCACTCTGCATTGAGTCTCTCGACATGCGTTTGTTCTGAACAAGGCTGATGTTTTTGACTCAGCCGGTGAATAGCAGGCATTCAGCGGACAGCATCCTTGTTGATTGTACCACTGCCTTCTGACAGTTTCAAAAATAAATATGAAGTGTCTGGGTAAAATGCATCACTATCAAATGTACATACATTGTGCTGTCAGGCATTTAGATTGTTTCTTTTTTAGACTGAATATTTTGTTAATTCTACAAAAATAAAAAGAAAGAAAGAAACATGCCTAAAACATCCACTCATTGCATGGTTATCAATATGACTGTAAGAGGGTAGACATTATGTCATGCTAAAGACACCTGAGAACCAAAGAGACATATTAAACAAAGTAAGGCTTAAATGGATTATATGCATGAGAGTAGCATGAGCGCTTGGCTGACGGCCCAATATACAGTACGTTCTTTTCACAATGTTCTGTCCTCCTTCAGATTCTCACATGAACTTTATTCATTCCCCGAGTCCATAACAGGCCCCTCCTCTTCATTCTCATTGGATGTTCCATGGCACTTAGTGTCCACTGGAAACCTTCAGGTGGTGTTGAGATGTGTTGCCATGGGGATGAGTAAGAGTTAAGTCAATTTTGTCAATTTCGTCGATCTGATCCTTTATTCAAGTCCTTCGTTGTGGTTGAGGCCCAGATCTCTCCGAGACATCTGTCTGCCTCCCTCGCTTTCTTCATCCTCTTCTTCATCTTCCTCCTCGTCGATTCCCTCCTCTTCCTCCTCTTCGTCGTCCTCCTCCTCCTCTGTGCCGTCCATGGAATCCTCAGTTCCTCCCAGCATGGCATGCTGCATCGCCAGTGTGGCGGAGTCTGAGGACAGAGGCTGCAGGCCGTCCATGCCCAGAGAATCTGACAAACATACACACAGTAACACAAATACATATATACTCAATTGCAAAACATCTGACAAAAAACTTTTTATATATATTTTACACACACACTACACTACCATTCAAAAATTTGTGATGGATAAAAAAAATTTGTTATTGAAAGACCCCTCTTTTATGCTCAAAAAGGCATTTTTTTTATATTGTGTAAAACCATTATACTGCTAAATATTACAATTACAATGAATAGAATAGAAATGATTAGAAATTTCAAAAGAACAGCATTTATTTGAAATATACATTTTGTAACATTATAAATTAAATTATAAATGCTGTCATTTTTTATCTTTTTTTAAAAAATTTTATTTACTTCCAAAAAATACTACAAACCCACATTTTTAAATGGAAGTGCATAATAAATATAATGTATTACATGTAAAAAAATAATGTATTATGTATAGTATATTCACTGCATAAACTATAACTCCCATTCATTTTCAAGTTTGAAAAAGTGACAGAAATTATTCAAATCTAATGGAAATTTAGTAAGTGGACATTATATATTCAACTTTGAAGACGAATTGATTTTTTTTATCTCTAAATTAATCATTTAATAATTAATATTTATTATTCAATATATATGTTAGTACTATCTGTCATTAGAGAACTAAATTGAACTGAGAATACAATTTAACTGACTCGTTCTGAATAATGATACTATTGTCTTCTGTAGAACTTAGAGCTGAATTGACTATTTTCTTATAGCTGAATTGAACTTGTTTTATAATGGATGAATTTGTAGTTATTGAACTTAATTAAACCAACCAACCGACTTGAGTTGAGTTGAATAATGACACTATTGTAGTCATTGAATTCTGAATTTGTCTCATATTTGATAAGGTCTGCATCACTGATTCTGTTATTTCCCTGTTTATTACAGTAAAGCTGCTTTGAAACAATCTGTATTGTATAAAGTGCTACATAAAAAAGGTTACTTGACTTGACTTGACTAGAGAATGTGTTCATATTACTGACTGTCTGAATTGTTTGTGGAGTGAGATCCGTGTGTCTGCAGGACTCCAGCTACAATGGAGTCGGGCCAGAAGCGCTGTGTGGGTCTGTGCTGAGATTTCATCTTCTTGGCTTTGGGAGCAGGGTCAGGATTACTGGCGTCCAGCATGGGCTGCAGTATACGCCTGCGGGCATTGATAAACCTTTCAAAAGACAGGAGAGAGAGAGAGAAAAATGATGTGGATGAGACATATACCAGGATTTTTGCTAAATACTACATGCAAATATTGTGATTCTGTTTGTGGCCATTAGATGGCGCCATTTTGCTGTGAATTACACCATAAAAATACTAGTGCAACAAACCAGTCGTCCTTACCAGTTGTTCACCTGTAATAAAGTAAGATTTGTTTGCGCTGCGATCTGTCTTTTCTCATCTTCTGTAGGATAAGGATGCTGGAAAACCAAAAAATAAATTAAAGGATATTATTTTTAATTATTATTTTATTTATTTTTAGTCGTTTAGAGTAAATGTCCATGTTTATATTTATCTATGTAAGTTCTAATGAAATTAAGAACCAGATATGATTGAAATTAAGTGCATTTTAAACTCCCCAAGCCTCCCTTTGGTTTGTAGGGCAATCATGTAAAGAAGAAATTCTCACCATGAGATGCTGGAAGAGCCAGGAACGCATTATGTTTGTGGCATGTTTGGGAAGGACGCCTCTTTTGTTTTTTGATTTCCTGTCATCGCCGTCCAAGAGTGAGGACAAGTCCAGGTTCACCTTGGAAGGAAGAGAGATGAGAAAGTGAGTGGGGGAGAAAGGAGGGGTAGTTGCCACGGAAACAAAGAGAGTTCGCCAGTCACCCTTTCTTTGGCAGGGGCAAGAATGCCTTCAGTCACCATAGCAACGCAATGGGAGTAATGATACCTAAAATTAAAGCCAAGGAGGGTACATTTACTGAAGCCTTTCATCAAGTAAAAGAGCTACGGAAAATGCAGTCAATTTTTCTCTTTTCATCAAACTTATTATATGCTCTGAAGTACGATTAATGTAAGGCGAGCGAAAATGCAAAAGAGTTTTAACGGATGCATGCTAAATTGACTAATTTCTTTTGGTTTACGCCATTCTGAGGCTGGCATATTAACATTTCAGAGAAGTTTAAGATGCATAATCTGCGAGAGCTCCGTGTGCGAATAAATAAATTAATAAAAGAAAAAAAGGAAAAATGTACATTTCCACTTTGAAAATAAGGATAATTAATTTCATGCTACCATTGCCACTGAAAGCCATAAAAAGCAGCAGCTCCCCACTGATTTTAAAATTTTTAAATAAATAAATAATAATCAAGCTCTAAAAACAACCTCCTCATTACATTTGCAGCTGGGTGTCATGTGGTTCTTTCCCCATTCCTCTACTCAAACTACACACACACACACACTAACGGGGGGGGGGGGGGGGGGGGGGTGGA